GAGAGGAAGCTGGGGGGAGCTCCAGAAATCAATTTCAGGGCATCCATGGTTGCATTAAAAATATCACTGACTGCTGATTAAATTCTCCTCTTGCAGGAAAGTGTTTGCAAATGCAAATTGACACCTTTAAGGATGAGGACTGGGGAGCGTGAGGGACGTTTTTCCAAGTTGCGTTTCTCATATTCAAATTATTGCGCTTCTGGCCCAGTCGGCGTGGCTCAGTGGTTTAGCATCGACCTATCAACCAGGAGGTCATGGTTCGATTCCTGGTCAAGGGCACATGCCCGGGTTTCATGCTCATAGCCAGTAGGGGGCGTGTGGGATGCAGCCGATCCCTGATTCTCTTTCATCATGGATGTTTCTCCCTCTCAATTTCCCTTCCTATCTGAGTCAATAAAATAATTTAAAAAAATATTAGTAATTGTTGCATTCAGATGGCATGAACATTGTTTTAAAATAGTTTATTATTTGTTTGGTTTAACATACCAGGTGGGTAGTCATTTAAAGATGACATTACGCCCGAGCTGGTTTGGCTCAGTGGATAGAGCGTCGGCCATTTTTTTCAAATATATTTTTATTGATTTCGGAGAGGAAGGGAGAGGGAGAGAGTTAGAAACATCCATGATGAGAGAATCATGGATCGGCCACCTCCTGTATGTCCCTCACTGGGGATCAAGCCCACAGGTTGGGCATGTGCCCTTGACCGGGAATCAAAACCTGTATCCTTCAGTTCGAAGGCCGACACTCTATCCACTGAGCCTAACTGGCTAGGGCCTATTTGACTTTTTCAAAGGGTGGAAACGCCTTGAAGAAGAACGAAGCATCTCAGCATTCATGTCACAGTAATTACATGAATTCATGTAATTCATGGGAATTACAACTCACCTCACCATTCTTTCCACATTGTTCCTGTAAATTCGGACTCTGACTAATAATGAAGCTTGTAGGCAAACAGCATGTTTGTATAAAAATCCTAGGAGCTAATTTTACAAGATATGAACTCTGACCATCCCAGTTCTGGGAGATTTGATGACCTTCAACCTTAGAACCTGGAGGACAAAGGCTAGGATGAGGCACACTGGATTGTCACCTGACCACTTGCAAGATCCTTATCAGATTGGACTGTGCCTGTCGGCAAGTAGAGAACTTCTCAAGCCCCGCCCCCTGACCTCTTTGCTCTGTTTGCCCTCTCCCTCCTTATAAAAGCCTCTGCCTCCACTGAGATGTGCAGATAGGTTTGGAACGAGCTTCCACCATCTTCTCAGGGTGCCGGCACCTGAATAAACCTCTCTCATTCCTCCCCACCACCTGTCTCACGGGACTGGTTTCTGGGGTGTGAGTCAGGGGAACCTTGTTTTTTTGGACACATTCGTGGTACATGGACAGGTGTATCATGGCCATTTTCTTTCTTCTGCAGGTGACAGGTGGAAGCAGAGACCGGTCACAGAGGAAAGGAGCTAAGAACAGTCCTTTGCTTTCAGAGCAAGAAAAACAGGTAAGAAACAGATGAATGGGAGGAGGAAGAGGAAGCATTGGGGATGGAGTCTGACCTTAGGGAGGAATTTGGACTTTGTGGACTGAAGTGAGTTCAGCATAAAAACTTTACAGCTCTTTCGAAGAGCATGGCTGAGGTTTGGGGAAGGGAGAGATCATTCTATAAATGACGTCATGAGACCTCAGGAATCCTACGTGCTGTTTCACCTTTCTCTTTGCTTCCTCTTTGCTTGATCAGCTATCCCAGGTATCTGTATCTCCCTGAATATCTTGGTCTTGCCTCTCTCACCAGCATTTGAAGAGCAAGACCGCTGTTAAGAAGCCCACCTGAAAGCTGACATTAGCTTTGTTCCTCTGACAGCTCCTTAAGGTAAAGCATATTACTTGCACATTATTTGCATGAGGTGGCTTGTTCTATGGTTTCTGAGTTCCTTCTAGGATGATCACAAAGAAGTTGGTGTTGTCAGGACAAAAAGAAAATTGAACCAACTACAAAGTTTGAATTAAGAAAAAAAGAAAACAAAACAAAGGAAAATAAAAGAAAAGAAGGAAAGAAAAGAAGAGCAAAGAGCCTAGCCAGCATGGCTCAGTTGTTTAGCTTAAACCTAGGAACCAGGAGATGTTGATTCGATTCCAAGTCATGGCACATGCGCGTGTTACAGTCTTGATCCCCAGTAGGGTGCGTGCAGGAGGCATCCAATCCATGATTCTCTGTCATCATTGATCATTCTCTTTCTCTCCTCCCTTCCTCTCTGAAATCAGTAAAACTATATGAAAAAAAACGAAAGAATAATCATAACACAGTAAAGTAGAGCATTGAGTCAATCCTATATAATAAAAGGCTAATATGCAAATCGACCAAACGGCAGAACAACTGGTCGCTATGACACACACTGACCACCGGGGGCAGATGCTCATGGCAGGAGCTATCCACAGGTGGTGGTCAGTGGGCTCCCACAGGGGGAGCGCCGCTCATCTAAAAGCCAGGCTAACAGCTGCCGAGCACAGGGGGGTGGTGGGAGCCTCCATGGCAGTACTTAAGTGGGCCAAAACTGTCAGTTGGACATCCCTCAAAGGGTCCCGGAATGGGAGAGGCCACGGTGCAGACTGAGGGACCCACCCCAAGTGCATGTATTTGGTTCACTGAGCCTCAAGTAATATTATAATAATGGTGTATGGTGTCAGATGAGTATGAGATTAATTGCATGATTTCTTGGTCCATTATATAAAGTCTAATCATTGGGGTGTACCCCTGAAATGAACCTAAGGTTGTATGTCAACTGTCATTTTAAAAATGTTTTAAAAATTCTATAGGACCATGTTACCTTCACAGAGTCACATTATACTTCAAGTATGTTTTGTACAGTTTGTTCTAGAAGAAAGATCTAAAGCTAAAAAAGATTAAAAAGTTGAGCAGGGAATAACCAAGATGGCGGCATAGGTAAACACCGGAGACTGCTGCCGCAAACAACCACTTCAAAAATACAACTAAAAGACGGAACAGACATCACCCAGAACCACAGGAAAGCTGGCTGAGGAGAGACTCTTCAACTAGAAGGAAAGAGAACAGCATACCGAAGCTCAGAAGAGGCGCAGTGTGGAAAATATAAAAGTACTGAGGTGCGCGCGCAAAGCGGGCTGGTGGCTGAGGGCGCGGTTGTCGTTTTCAATCAGGAGGGAGTCTCAGACTCTGGGTTCCAGATCCGGGCGAGTCTCTAGGGACTCAGACTCAGACGGGAGAAGCGGGATTGTCCAGCATCAGTTGAAACGTGAGGGCAGCCTTCTCTCCGAGGTTTGCAGTGGCGTCCGGGGTTCTGAGAAGCAGAGCCTCTAGGACCGGGACTGAGAGCAGCCATAACTGCTCACTCCACCCGCCCTGTTGATCCCGCCCCGCCCAAGCCCTGCGCAGAGCCATTTGCTGGATCGCCTCAGGCAAAGGCTAGATCAGCACCTCCCCAGAGGACAGAAGTTTTCCACACAGCTGATTCTCACAGCCGGTCAGCCTGGTGGTCAAATCCCTCTAGTATTAACTACAACAATCAGGGCTTAACTACAACAAGACTGCGCACAAAGACTACTAGGGGGTGTACCAAGAACGCGTAAAAAAATGCGGAGACAAAGAAACAGGACAAAACTATCAAGGGAGGATATTGAGTTCAGAACCACACTTTTGAGGTCTCTCAAGAGGCTTCTAGAGTCTGTCGATAAACTTGATGAGATGCACAGGAAATCTAATGAGACCCTCGATGGTGTGATAAAGGACCATCTAGAAAGTAAGCATACACTGACTGAAATAAAGAATATTATACAGACTCCCAACAGCAGACCAGAGGAGGGCAAGAATCAAGTCAAAGATTTGAAATGCGAAGAAGCGAGAAACACCCAACCAGAAAAGCAAAATGAAAAAAGAACCCAAAAATATGAAGATAGTGTAAGGAGCCTCTGGGACAGCTTCAAACGTACCAACATCAGAATTATAGGGGTACCAGAAGATGAGAGAGAGCAAGATATTGAAAACCTATTTGAAGAAATAATGACAGAAAACTTCCCCCACCTGGTGAAAGAAATAGACTTACAGGTCCAGGAAGCGAAGAGAACCCCAAACAAAAGGAATCCAAAGAGGACCACACCAAGACACATCATCATTAAAATGCCAAGAGCAAAAGACAAAGAGAGAATCTTAAAAGCAGCAAGAGAAAGAAACTCAGTTACCTACAAGGGAATACCCATACAACTGTCAGCTGATTTCTCAACAGAAACTTTGCAGGCCAGAAGAGAGTGGCAAGAAATATTCAAAGTGATGAATACCAAGAACCTACAACCAAGATTACTTTATCCAGCAAAGCTATCATTCAGAATTGAAGGTCAGATAAAGAGCTTCACAGATAAGGAAAAGCTAAAGGAGTTCATCACCACTAAACCAGTATTATACGAAATGCTGAAAGGTATCCTTTAAGAAGAGGAAGAAGAAAAAGGTAAAGATACAAATAGTGAACAACAAACATGCATCTATCAACAAGTGAATCTAAGAATCAAGTGAATAAATAATCTGATGTACAGAATGAACTGGTGATTATAATGAATCAGGGACATAGAAAGGGAATGGACAGACTATTCTTGGGGGGGGGGGAAAGGGGAATGGGAGATGCGGGAAGAGACTGGACAAAAATCGTGCACCTATGGAGGAGGACAGTGGGTGGGGAGTGAGGGCGGAGGGTGGGGCGGGAACTGGGAGGAGGGGAGTTATGGGGGGGAAAAAAGAGGAACAAATGTAATCTGAACAATAAAGATTTAAAAAAATAAAATAAAAAAGATTAAAAAGTTGAGATTCATAAATTTGCAAAATAAACCAAAGGCAACCACAAACACAACTGTAAAATCCATATAGATAAAAGCAGAGGTAAAATTCGATTGGAGACCCCCTCCCTTGTCTTTCGATACCAGGACCGAAGTAGCGAGAGACTCTGAGAAGCTGTGGCTGTTGCTCCTTGTACCTCAGAGGGGTCATGGCCGAGCTCCCGTCGAAGGTGCATGTCAACTCGCACCCCATCTGCCTGAGGATCCGTGAGCACTCGGTGTATGAGGACGAGAAACAGCGCACGTGGGTGCATGTCGTCGTGGAGATAGGAGGTGACCTGCAAGTACGGTTGGTGCAGGACGACAGCCCAGTTGGGGATATCGCACTCGACACAAGCCGGCCGACCTCGAGCAACATGCCTTCGAGGTGGACGCTCCTGCATGGCAGCCTGTACGAGGACTCCAAGGGCCGGTTCTGGCGCATCGTGCACCATGTAAAGGAGGATGGCATAGAGGAAATGATCCTTGAGCTAATGGACGACTCGTAGGACATGTGATGGGGTCACTGGCTCTTGTCAACCTGAGCCCCAGTCCTGCTGGGCTGCTGGTGGGACGTGTATAGTTCTGTTCACCTTTTTACTAAGCTCCATTGTTCTATGGGTTATCCCCTGGTGCGAGGGCACATTGATGTCTCTCTCTCTCTCTCTCTTTCTCTCTCTCTCTCTCTCTTTCTCTCTCTCTCTTTCTCTGTCTTTCTTCTTGTTCTTGTTCTTGTTCGTCTTCTCCCCCTTTCTCTCTGTCTCTCTGTCTCTCTGTTTCTCTCTGTCTCTCTCCCTCTCTCTCAAATCAATAAAAGCATTTTCATCCAAGCTGGTCTTTCTCAGTGGTTGAGGGAGGACCTGTGAACTCTGAGGTCACGGTTCAATTCCTCGTCAGGGCACAGACAAGAATTAACCAATGAGCCCTCGTTTGTTTGGCTCAGTGGATAGAGGGTTGGACTGTGGACTCTGGAAGGTCCTAGATTCGATTCTGGTCAAGGGCACATGCTCTGGTTGTGGGGTCGATCCCCAGTAGGGGGCGTGCAGAGGCACCTAATGTATGATTCTCTCTCATCATTGATGTTTCTCGCTCCCTTCATTTATGAAATCAATCCTGTATATTAAAAGCCTAATATGCTAAGTGTCCAGTCGACCGGTCATCTGTTCAACCAATCAAAGCGTAATATGCAAATGATATACTAAGGTTGCTCAACTGCTCACTATGCCATGCATTGACCATCAGGGACTAGACATTCAGACTGGTAGGTAACTTACTGCTGGGGTCTGGCTGATCGGACTGAGTGAGACATACTGCACTCGCTCTGGAGCCCTCCCATGGTCCCGCCCCAGCTGGCCAACCTCCCACATCCCACCCCGGCCCCGATCGTATGCCAGTGGGTCCCATGGCCTGGCCTGTGCCCTCTTGTCATCTGGGACACCTCGGGGGATGTCAGAGAGCCAGTTTAGGCCGATCCCCGCAGGCCAGGCCAAGGCACCACACTGGTGCATGAATTTGTGCACCGGGCCTCTAGTAAAAATCTATTAAACAGAGAAAAACAAAGAAAAAGACCTTAAGAATGAAAATATTAGCTCAGCCCCGGTAGACAAGGCTCCAAGACATCACTGGAAATAGTTTTCATTTCAATGACCAGCGTTCTCATTGTTTGATCTCCTGAGCTTCGTCAACCAATACGACCCTCTCTAAAAAAAGAACAAATGTTTGGGGATAGGGGTGTTTTATGCTGATCATCTCTTTCCTTTGAGAAATTACCAGGGATGCCAGGGCTCGTCTCCTGAGGGCTCCAGACGGCTCTGTGTGTGGCTATAGCATCTAAATCTGGATGCATTTGGGTTTTTAATTGTGTTTAGCACTAAACAGCCCCAAACAAAGCCCAGCGATCATAAAATTCATCTACCATCACACCATACAGAGGCGGCTTAGGGGGGCCCAAGGGGAGCCCCAGAATCAATTTCAGGAAATCCATGGTTGCATTAAAGAGATCACTGACTGATGATTAAATTCTCCTCTTGAAGGAAAGTGTTTGCAAATGCCAATTGTCACCTTTAAGGCTGAGGACTGGGGTGCGTGAGGGACGTATTTCCAAGATGCGTTTCTCATATTTAAAATATTGCACTACCGGCCCGGCCGGCGTGGCTCAGTGGTTGAGCATCAACCTATCAACCAGAAGGTCCTGTTCCATTCCTGGTCAAGGGCACATGTCCAGGTTGCGGACTCAATCGCCAGTAGGGGGCGTGCGGGAGGCGGCCGATCCGTGATTCTCAATCATCATGGATGTTTCTCTCCCTCTCTCCCTTCCTCTCTAAGTCAATAAAATCATTTAAAAAATATTAAGCAAGTGTTGCATTCAGATTAAATGCACATTGTTTTAAAATAGTTTATTATTTCTTTTGGTTTAACATACCAGGTGGGTAGTCATTTAAAGACGACCGAGCGCCTGAGCTGGTTTGGCACTGTGGATAGAGGGTCAGCCTTTTTTTTACAAATATATTTTCATTGATTTCAGAGAGGAAGGGAGAGGGAGAGAGTAAGAAACATCCATGATGAGAGAATCATGGATAGGCTGCCTCCTGCAAGTCCCGCCCTGGAGATCAAGCCCAAAATCTGGGCATGTGCCCTTGACTGGGAATCAAATCCCGGACCCTTCAGTTCGAAGGCCGACACTCTATCCACTGAGCCAAACTGGCTAGGGCCTATTTGACTTTTTCAAAGGGTGGAAACGCCTTAAAGAAGAACAAAGCATCTCAGCATTCATGTCACAGTAATTACATGAATTCTTGTAATTCATGGGAATTACAACTCACCTCACCATTCTTTCCACATTGTTCCTGTAAATGCAGACTCTGACTAATAATGAACCTTGTAGATAAACAGCCTGTTTGTATAAAAATCCAAAGAACTAATTTTAGAGGATATGAACTCTGACCTTTCCAGTTCTGGGAGATGTGATGATCTTCAACCTTAGAACCAGGAGGACAAAGTATTGGATGACGCACACTGGACCGACACCTGACCACTTGCAAGATCCTTATCAGATTGGACTGTGCCTGTAGTCATGTACAGAACTTCTCAAGCACTGCCCCCCGACCTCTTTGCTCTGTTTGGCCTCTCCCTCCTTATAAAAGCCTCTGCCTCGACTGCGATGTGCAGATAGGTTTTGGGACGAGCTTCCCCCATCTTCTCAGGTTGCCAGCACCTGAATAAACCTCTTTCCTTCCTCACCACCACCTTTCTCACGGGACTGGTTTCTGGGGTGTGAGTCAGGGGAACCTTGTCTTTTCTAGACACATTCCTGGTACATGGACTCCTGGGAATATGTGTATCATGGTCATGTTCTTTCTTCTGCAGGTGACAGGGGGAAGCAGAGACCAGATACAGAGGAAAGGAATGAGGAACAGTGCTTTGCCATCACTGCAAGAAGAACAGGTAAGAAAAAGAAGGATGGGAGGAGGAGGAGGAAGGATTGGGGATGGAGTCTGACCTGAGAGAGGAATTTGGACATTGTGGACTGAAGTGAGTTTAGCAGCAAAACTATACAGCTCTTGCCAAGGTCATGGCTGAGGTTTAGGTAAGGGAGAGATCATTCTATAAGTGATGTAATGAGACCTTAGGAATCCTACTTGCTGTTTCACCTGTCACTTTGCTTCCTGTGTGCCCGATCAGCTATCCCAGGTATCTCTCTGTCCCTGAATATTTTGATCTTGCCTCTCTCACCAGCACCTCAGAAGCAAGACCGCTGTTAAGAAGCCCACCTGGACGGAGACTTTAACTTTGTTCCTCTGCCAGCTGTTAAAGGTAAAGCATATCATTTTCACCGGGTGGGTTGTTCTATGGTTTGTGAGTTCCCTCTGAGATGATCAGAAAGAAGGTGGTGTTGTCAGGACAAAAAGAAAAGTTTAACCAACTACAAAGTTTTAATTAAGAAAAAAAGAAAAGGAAAGACAAGAAAAAAAAAGAAAGAGAAGAATAGAAAAGAAAAGAAAAGAAAAGAAAAGAAAGAAAAGAAAAGAAAAGAAAAGAAATGAAAAGAGCCCGGCTGGCATGGCTCAGTTGTTTAGCTTAAACCTAGGAACCAGGAGATGTCGATTCGATTCCCAGTCATGGCACATGCCCGGGTTACAGTCTTGATACCCAGGAGGGGGCATGCAGGAGGGAACCAATCCGTGATTCTCTGTCATCATTGATCTTTCTCTTTCTCTCCCTCTCTCTTACTCTCTGAAATCAGTAAAACTGTATGAAAGAAACAAAAGAATAGTCATGCCACAGAAAAGTAGAGCATTGAGTCAATCAATATAATAAATGGCTAATATGCAAATCGACCAAACGGCAGAAGGACTGGTCTCTATGACATCCACTGACTACCTGGGGAGAATGCTCATGGCAGGAGCTGTCCACCGGTGGTCAGTGCACTCCCACAGGGAGAGCGCGGCTGAGCCAAAAGCCAGGCTCACAGCTGCCGAGCACAGGGGGGTGGTGGGAGCCTCCATGTAAGCACTATAGCTGACCTAAGTTGGCAGTTGGAAATCCCTCAAGGGGTCCCGGACTGGGAGAGGCTGCAGGGTTGGCTGAGGTAACCCCCTGATTGCATAAATTTGTGCACTGATCCTCTTGTTATATTATAATAACTGTGTATGGTTTCAGATGGGGATGAGATCAATTGCATGATTTATTAGTCCATTATATAATGTCTAATCATTGGGGTGTACCCCTGAAATGAACCTAAGGTTCTATGTTAACTTCCATTTAAAAAATGGTTTTAAAATTCTATATGACCATGTTACCTTCATAGAGTCATATTTTCCATTAAGTACATTTTGTACAGTTTGTTCAAGGAGAGAGATCTTAAGCTAAAAAGAAAGAAAAGCTGAGATTTATAAATTTGCAAAATAAACCAAAAGCAATCACAAACACAACCTTAAAATCCATAAAGATAAAAGCCGAGGTGAAATGCGTTTGGAGACCCCATCCCCTGTCTATCGATGCCAGGACCGAAGTAGCGAGAGGCTCTGAGAAGCTGTGGCTGTTGCTCTTTGGAACACGGAGGGGTCATGGCCGAGCTCCCCTCGAAGGTGCACCTCGCCTCCCACCCCATCTGCCTGAGTATCCGTGGGCCCTCGGTGTACGAGGATGAGAACCAGCGCACTTGGCTCCATCTCGTCATGGACACAGGAAGTGACCTTCAAGTACGGTTGTGCCAGAAAGACATCCCCAGTGGGTATATCGCACTCACCACCAGTCCGATGACCTCGAGGCCCATGCCTTCATGGTGGATGCTCCACCTTGGCAGCCAGTACCTGGACTCCTTGGGCTGGTTCTGGCGTATCGTGCAGCACGTCAAGGAGGATGACATGGAGGAAATGATCCTTGAGCTGATGGATGACTCATAGAACATGTGATGGGGTACCTGGATCTTGTCAACCTGAGCCCCAGTCCTGCTGGCCTGCTGGTGGGATGTGTATAGTTCTGTTCACCTTTTTACTAAGCTCTGTTG